TAATGATCCCAGGGGGGCTGTTTGTCCCCCATAGGCAAATAACACTGAGAGACACATGCAAATATAGAGCCCCCCATTGCTGTTGGGAGGGCAGTGACTTTAATGCAAATCAGAAAGCTGACAGACTAATGGTGAGGCCCTCAGTACTAAACAGGTCTGTTTAAAAGTGTCAACTACAGTATGTAACAAATAACAGAGGGATGCGGACATTTTAGGCATAAGATCCAAATGTTACTACCCATCTATGTGCCATATTATATGCCCCAATAATTTAATATCTGGGAAGAGTTACCCTGCATTACAGATATGGCTGTGCTGCATAGGGCACATTACTAGGTTACAGGACTGGTCTTTCCAGGAAGTCTGTCACACTGCATGCTGGTTGTTAGATAGTTTCAGAGATGCAGGTGTGGGGAGGGGAGAGGAAACTGCACCCTGTGTTATTCTATTTCAGTACAGAATCATCACCCACAATGCACCTGTGATTTACTAGGAAGAAATGCTCCAGTGACCTTTTATTAGTGAGTAATGACTGCATTAAACATGAGAACATATGTTACTGATTTTTCTAAGTACAATTTTTTTTATCTTAAATGTAGTGTACCTTTAAGTAATTTTGCTTTGCACAGGCTGAAATTTTTTCCATAAGACAAAACAGGGATAACACTTAATGAGTAGAAAAAGCATATTGTTAATGAAAATGGTATAAGGTCCATTAATGTTCTATTTAGCAACCAAAATGTATTTTTTACAAATGTAACCTATATGCTGACAGAGCATACAGTATGTATATTTCCTGATTCCAGCTGTACTTCAGCCTCATGCAAATATTTATGTAAATTTATTTAGTGTGTATTTGACGTAAATATGGTTTTATTGTAAGTCTCTGATGGTCTTTCCAGGAAGTCTGTTAAACTGCACTTTGCCACACAGTTTCAGAGATGCAGGTGCAGAGAGGGGGGGGGGGAAGCTGTAGCCGGTATTTGGCTGCTTTAATACAGACACCATAACCGCAGCTCCCCTGTGATTTATGCAAACCGGTGACTCTGCTTAGCCAAGCGCTAACTGCCCAGAATTAGAGTTTATGTCATGATTATTTTATTACGCTCATAATCAAGCTGTTTCATTCTAATCAGCTTCCTGAATCAGGTTCATGTGTTTTGAAGAGACACGAGGTGCAAATATGGGAAAAATAAAGAGTCTGTAA